GGCGGGGTTCCCCCCAGCCGCTCTCCCCGGCTCACGGCAGGATGTGGACATCGGGTTCCCCCCCACCTGGAGGAGGACATGGGACTGATCCCTGCCCGCAGGCTGCTGCGCTGGCCCAGGCGGGGGCGAAGCCAGCAGCGCTTCCTCGCTTCTGCTCTGCGCCAGGGGCTGGCCAGAGCGCTTGACACTTCTTTCCTCCGTTCTGAAGGTAGTTCTGTCTCTAACCAAGGGAACAGGAAGGTTGGTGGGTTCCTTTTCCAAACACCTTTCCTGTGGGGAGCCTCCCCAGCAGGAGCTCGCTGTGACGGGTGAGAGGTTTGCCAGGCAGGGGACAGGCTGGGTGGTGGCCCAGCACCACCAGCCCTGGGCAGTGGCTTTGGGAGGGGGTGTCTCTGCTCCTCCTCTCCCGCACCCGAAGCCCCATGAGGAGCCGGTGCCCTCAGCCACTCCTGGCTAAGCCATTTGTCAGATTACACTAGAAGCTGGAATTAATTTTTATGGTGGGGCTCTTGCTGTTCCCTCTGGCAGCAGGTTTTCTTTCTGCGGGTAGAATCTGGGCTCCCCCTTCTATTTTCCTCTGTGTTGATGGGCTTTTTATTATTTTTTTTCCCTGGATGGAGAGGATGCTCCCTGCGACAGCTCCTCGCAGCTCCCGCCTCCCCGGGCAGTCTCCGGGTCATGGGCTGATGGTGTCGTGATTATTTTTTTAAAGGACCACACGAGGTTTTGTCAACTGGGAAAAACAGATGTTTAGTTATCAATAAAGAGTTCTTTGAAAGAGTTGGCTCTGGCAGCAGAGCACGGGCAGGGCTAGGGGCACAGAGCAGCTGGGGGGAGGGGAAGGAGGGTTTCTTCCCAGTTTCTCCCAGCAGGATGGTAGAAACCCTTTGCCGCAGGAATGGAGAATCCTGCAGGGAGATACCTGCCTGCACCCCAGGCAGTAAACAGGACTTGTCACACTGTAGCTGCCTGAAATCTTTATTGAATAAAAGCTCTAGATACAGAGGAATTTCCCAGCTGGGAGCTGCTTCCAGCTCTCCCGCCCTGCCCACAGCAGGGTATGTGCTGAGGAGGAGCTGCTGCAGTAGACGGAGCCTCCCAAGTGCCCAGCAGCCCTGAGGGTGGGAAGGTGGGCTAGAAGGAGGGTAGGTTGTTGTGCTGGCAAGGTCAGGGGGCTCCTTTCTGCCTTCCTGAGGGCTGTTCCGCAGGCTGGCTTGAGGGCTTGTCCTGAGCCCTGTTCCCTGAGCCCCTCTGAGGGACAAAACACCTTCACATGGTGCCTGTTTGCAGCCCAGCTCCATAAAATGCTCTGTAAAATGGTGCCCACTTCCCACCAGGCTAAAGCATTGTTGCCCCAGCCTGCAGGAGGGCTTTGTGCGTGGAGGCAGCCCCCAGATCTGCAGCAGTTGGTCAGGGCTGACTGCAGTTGTCCTGGAGAGCCCCTGGGTCCCTGCACCGTGGGGATGGGCACTTTGGGTGCTGCCACCCAGCTGAAGCCACATCCATGCCCGGTGCTTTCACTGGCCAAGCTGTCTCCCTGGCAGGACAGGCAGTGTAGTGCCTGCTGCAGCCTCCTGGGCCAGCGAGGACTCCCTACCCTCCTCACCAGGAACATGACAACTGTCCCGCCTGCTCCAAAGCAGCCTTGGGTGGGAAAGGAAAAGAAGCAGGAGTCCTGAGTGAACACTCTGGTGCCCAGCACTGAGCACCAAGCTGCTGCAGGGACCAGCAGCGTTACCTGTGCTGGGAAACGTCTCCCACCAAGGCAGGCATGAGGTGGGCAGCACCTGGCCACTCGGTGTCACACACATTGTAGCCACTCTCTGGAGACAAGACACTACAGACAATCCAGGACTAAAGAGAGAAGAGTAGGTAGAAATCTAGTACCAAGGACACCCTGTGCAAGAAGGTGACCGCCGCAGGGGGCTGTGAGGAGGAGCCCTGGCCTTGCTGGCTCACACAGGGGAAGTTCAGATCCACACCAGGCCCTCAGTGCTGGCTCCGCTTGCGGTACAGGTAAGCGTTGCTCACCTGGTTCATGATAACCAGGCTGGTGAGAAGGGGACACAGCATGGCGAGGTACCAGGAGACGCTGGTCACCAAGGTGGTGAACCACAGGGAGCACATGCCCAGCATCAGGCTGGCACAGCCCAGAAGGTAGCCCACCAGCCCCGAGGTGGCGTGGTACAGCTTGAGCTTGGCCAACGTCCAGTTCTTCATCAGCTTGGGGTAGAGCAGCAGCACTCCCCCAGCACACTGCCCGCCCGTGTACAGCACGGTGAGCAGCCCCGTCAGGCCGTGCCAGGTGACAAAGTGGGCCTTGCCGTTCAGGTGCTTGTTGTAGGTGATGACACCCAGCCCCAGCAGGGCGCAGAGCAGGGCCAGCAGCTGCAGGGCCCAGTGCACCCGCACCTTGACTTTGCGGGAGAAGGAGCGGAGCAGCGAGGTCTCCGGGGAGAACACCAGCAGGGCTTCTGTCATCAGGAACGAGAACTGGGAGACAGAGGGCAGGTGGTTGGCACCGGCCTCCCTGCCCCTCCGCCTCTCCCCGGGAACGCGGAG